GTACTATTCATAGTATTACCCATAATTCTATTCATAATAATATTGATTCTACTACGAATATTACTAGTAATAATAATCGTAATACGAATACTAATAATACTACTCATACTGTGGTGTGAGCTACTTATATTGACATAAGTAGTATATAACATGCGTTAAAAGTAAGTAATGTCTGGCAGCAGAAAATGGAGAAGGTCAAGAAAAGAAGAGCAAGATTTTGTTGAGATAGTCTGTAATTTTGTGCTAAGTACTTTCGATTGTCCCCACCCGTGTTCTCGTTCACTACAATACTACTAACAATATTTCTTTCATACTACTATTAATAGTAATAATAATAATATTAACTATAATACCACTAATACTATTAAAAAAGTGGTACTATTACTACTAGTATGACCAATTCACATATCACTACTGATTCTAATACTAACAGCACTGCTCATAGTACTAGTAATAATACTACTAATACTGCTACTTATACTAATAATAATAATACTACCAATAATATAACAACTATTGCTACACATAATACCACTACAAATACAACTACTCATACTACTATTCATACTACTACTAGTACTAATACTGCTACAAATACTAATAATATTGCTAACCATACTACTAGTAATACAAATATTTATACTAGTTCTCATACTGCTATTATACTACTACTCACAATAATACTTATAATACTACTAATACAACCACTAATGCCACTACTAATACTACTACTAATATTATCCTTAATACTAATACTATTAGTACTATTAATATTACCAATAATACTACTACACATAATAAACAATCTCAGAGAAAGATGGACATATTATTCATTCCCAATCCAGGAGATTGGATCGATGGGCAGAACACTTTAGGGATCAGTTCAACTGGCCTTCAGCCACACTTCGGTTTCCCACGATCTCCAGTCAACCTGAATGGCAAGTTAATGTAGGTCCTCCGTCTCTTTATGAAGTTGAAAAAGCCATAGGAAATCTGAAACGAGGGAGAGCAGCAGGCCCTGACAGGTTTACTCCTGAGATTTTTAAGGATGGTGGTCCAGTATTAGCAATGAGATTAACCGAGGTCTTAGGTAGAATTTGGGAACTGGACGTAATACCATCTGACTGGTCTCAATCACTGATTGTGCCAGTTTATAAGAAAGGACAAAAGTCCTCTTGTGACAATCACAGAGGAATCAGTTTGACTAATATAGTGTCTAAAATATTAGCTTCAATAATACTTCGACGCCTAATCAAAGCTCGTGAAGAGCAAACTAGAGAAAACCAGGCCGGTTTTCGACCTGGACGTGGTTGTATAGACCAAATATTCACACTATGTCAGGTTCTAGAACACAGACACACATTGGTACTATTTCTCGACCCTGAGGCGGCATTGGACTCTGTTGATCGAGAGGTTCTATGAGTGTTTGTCAGTGAAAGGAGTACCAAAGAAGTACATTAAACTTATTCAGGCTCTCTACTCGAACACAACTGGTAGAGTGAGAGTTTATGGCGAACTGTCATCAGAATTGATTACATCAAGTGGTGTTCGTCAGGGCTGTCCACTCTCCTCATTCTTGTTCAACTTTGTGGTCGACGTACTTTTAGAGATAACACTCTCCTCATCTAAATTTCCGGGGGTTGAACTTCTACCGGGAGGTTCACTTGTTGACTTAGAATATACCGATGACATATTTTTATTTGGTGAAGACGCTGACAAAATGCAGAGTCTTCTGACCACTCTAAGCAACAATGCAAGCATGTTCGGGATGCGATTCTCTCCCTCGAAATGCAAAATGTTGCTTCAGGATTGGGTTACATCGACACCCGAACATGATTTCAGTCCAAAGTTTAGTTTTATAAGTCATTATCACTGATCGAATGACACTGTCTGTAAATTGAGTTCATTGACGAGTTTGACGAAATGAAATTTATGCAGACTCAAGTGCATGTGAGATGTTATGCTCTACACTGTCACGTATGTTTTCCTCTTCTCTGTTACCTGATTTCATGCATCTATATAAGTCGATCGAACGGTTTAAATGAAATGATCGAAAAAATATTGTGAAATTCACACAACCACATGTACCAGTTTGTTCATCACACAATCAAGACAAACACACACACAAATTCCCACTTCACTGCATCATATTACAAATGCCACATTTCACAGACCCACTAGTACACACACACACATAATAACAGTGAGGTACACATATGACCTCCTTATAATGTTGAAGATCTGGAAAATCTAAATAAATTAGATTGATAGTAACAGTATTTTCTACATTTAGTTCACACTAAGTAGATATTAAAAGTGGAAAGTAATGCAGAACGGTTTTTCAAAATATAAAGTAATGCAACTAACTGAGATGTTTTAACTCTTTTTAATGTAGTAAGTAGAACTATGTGCATGACAGATAACTTTAGATATTCCCGTCAATTCATGAAATTACTGATTTCAATTGGTTATGGAGATTTTGAACACCTAAACTTATAATGAACACCAAGATTAAATAAAAATCAGCAGTGAATCATCATACAATCATCAAATATTCATCCATTCAATAGTAATGCAGAACATTTCAAGATACCATATCATTTTCTAATGATCATTTACTCATTTCCCAGTGAATATACTCAGTTCCAAACTTTTCTTTACACAGTAGATAGAAAAGAATTACTGTGTTCTGGCACACAAAATAATCGTAATGAGAGCCGTTAGACATCACCTCTGTAATAGTCATTCGTAGGTTAGTATTTTAAAAGATTTTTCATGTTTCACGGTCATCGCTGCTTAACATTTTTGAAAGAGAGGACATAACGAGATTCGCTGTAAAATGAGCAAATGAGATCAATAGCCAAACGTACGTTTTAAAAGTTTCCAGTTCAGGACCACCACAGTAACGCTAGTTCTCAACAGAGACGACTCTCGTAACCGTAAAAATGTGTTTCTCCGACGACTGATGAGAATGATGCCGGTATACATCAGCAAACCACTTCCGCCATATCTTCTTTGAGCAGCACATAGTGCATCAGTTGTAAAGAAAATCAACCACGCATCCATTTACATGTCCATTACTCAATCGAGATAAATGAAGCCGTAGAAACTCGGCAGTAAATTATAGGCGAATTCTGTGAACTGGAATGTACTATAATTATATATATTCTTATCGTGTAAATGTTCAGCAAATCGATTACGTGTATTCACACCCTACTTATTATAAGTTTTCTTTTGTTCTACACACCATTATAATATGATTTACTTTTAGAAAGTGTTAGGTCTTGATCAGCATAATGAATGGTAACTTTGGGATCCATTCATGGACCAATACTAAACGTATATTTTTACCGTATAATCGTTAAATAACTAAACTATTCATAATCATATTCTTCTTATTATAAGCTTCATTTTGACCTATGAACAATTATTATACGTTTTATCATTCTTGAATTATGCCCTGTCTATCAGTCACTGCCTCCCACATTCACAGCCACTTTTGGTCAAATCTTGTAAAAATGTTATTTACTATTTTATGATACGTTGTGGTCTGTTTGACTGGTGTATATAAACATGCTATGTTTAAAATACATGATTCATATTTCAGAAGCAGAGATTAGCGTCTTGGACTCAAGTTGCTGCGCTAGGCGGAAAGCAGGACCAAGCAGAATTCTAGGCTGCTCGCACGTGTTATATGTGTCACTGGTTCGATCGATAATTCACTGCTTCTGATTGGCGATATCATTACGTATACATTAACAGGGCACACAGTCCAGAAGTTATAACACAAAATTATGCCCACAACCATGTTCTTTGTATTTTCATAGTTTATACTCATTCAGATATGTTGAAAAAGATGAAACGTATTAGGGAATTTATCCAGCACTTACTCCACCTCATTCACCAATTTGTACGTCATTCATAGTAATTTACATATTACATAACTTCTGACTTGTTTTTACATTATTGTCCTGCAATTTATCTAATCCATATTTATTTCTGTTCATTAACTTTACAATTTCATTCAATGCGTAGAGCTATTACAATTCACATGTTATTCTTTTTCCAACGATGGGTATCGCCTTACATCTGATCGGATTTCGTTGATTAAGCTGGATAATATAACCTTGGAAACTGAAGAGAATGACACGAGGATCAATGATTTTATGCAGTTTGAGCTACTATAAACATATTTCTGTTAAAGTCTGTGGAAGCCACTTCATTTAGAATGGTTTATGTCAGATCCATTTTAAATGCTTTTTGTGCGTGAATCCCTCCATGTTCACCCTTGCAGTTTGTTTCTATTGATTCCTTTAGTTGTACATTGTCAGTCTTTTTGATTCCATTTGAGTTGTTAATATTTGTATTTCATTAGAGTTTCTATTTTTCTTACACCTTCACTAAGTTTTCGTGTTTCTTCCTGAACTGCATTTATGTTGCAGCCCTATTGGTTTGTTCCTCCTTTTGACTGTGTCGCTTTGTATTGGCTGAAATTGTGCATTTTTGATTGTGAATTAAGACACTCTTTCAGAATTGGAAACACTCTGTGTTATAAAGCAACCAAATGGTATCTTTTGAATGAATCTGCGCGTGATCTAGCCAGACAGGATAGAATAACACTGATTTGTTGTGATTGGTAATTTTCTCGCATCCTTTATCAACTTCCTTATTTATTGTAATTTAGATTTGGTTCATTGAACAATTATTAGTTGGATAGCTGGGTGGTCATATTTGTTTAGCCGACAATGTGCATTCAACTTTATGATGAATATTAGAACCGTCTTCTTACCCAATTACTTTGCTTTTGACTTTCATCGGGCAAGGGCGCGTATCTGACCCACTTAGACAGCTATTCTTCAGTCCAAAACTTAGTTTGGATCTTACAGTTCTGAACAAATATCAATTGATTGAGATTTTTCGTTTACCGTTTCGTGGAGTTCAATTATCGTTTCTAAAGATATTTGGTTGCTTCGCTCGTGATGCCGAACACTCGTCAAAGG